ATGAACTGAATCAAAAGCATGGCCTAATAAAATTTTTGGATGAGGAGCACCATTTTGAATTTCTAAATTTGCCTTTCAAAATATATTTTGAATCGCGGTGGATGAAAACTTTAAAATCATACAGAAGAAACTGCAGGATGGATGAAGAGTCTCTGCGGGCCAGGTCTGACCCACAGGCCGTATGTTGGGCAGCACTGGCCTACAGGGTATACAGTATTTAGAAAGAATCTCATTAGAAAAAACTTTCCACTCTAAGTAAAAAAAAAAAAAGAAAGTTTTCTCAAACCACTGCGAGTTTGTTGTAGCGATATTCTAATGTAAAATATTATATTTCCAATCATGAGATCGATGAACAAATTTTGCAATTTTTCAACTCACTACGTTCCACTTCATCATTTGAGGCACATTAATTTTACTCGATGAATCAATCTGAAAATGGTGACTCATTACTTTCGAACGATCTACACAGTCCACACGGAAAAGAAAGTTATGACATCCAGTATACTCACATACAGTTTATATGAACACTCACGTGATTCCAATACTCTTCAAGTCTTCGTCAGACATTGTCAGAAATACACCCAGGTCGATCTCTTGCTCTCGAAATAGATTCAGATACTGTGACATGCCATTCTCCGCCAAAAATGACCTCAAGCTCATCTTCCGCGATTTTCCACTCGTTCCTATACACACACAACATCGGAATACGAGGTGAAATAGTTCGAAAATGAACAATATCCTGACAGCCACACTCACTTTCGAGCTCTTCGTCTGGAGCAAAGATTCCCGTTGATGTAGTTGAAGGAATCACGTTGGCACCAGAAGAAGCATGTTCCCAATGGAAAATATCGGGATGTTCTTCGTCATCAACGAAAACACTGCTGTTCGACGAAGCGTCGCTCAACTCTGACGAAATGAAGAGCAAGTTATCACTTTCAAATCAACAGAAAGAGAGAACTGGTGCTGCTATAATTTTTGACATAACCAAAATCCGACAAAATAATGTTACACGTGGTGAAGAAGACAGATTTATATAAATTATAGAGGACAAAATTCACAGTTTCAATGTGATGCAATTTCATCAATGAAAGAAAAGGAGAAGTTTAAGAAAAAAAAGACAATGTTCTACACGATAGACTATCAGGTACCTATAGATATTTGCACTGAGGCCCCGACATAAGAACGATTCGACTTAGGGACAGTCAAACATTAAAAAAAGCCTCAACATCCAGACAATTTCTCACGATACCGGACACTTCGCCAACCTGCTCAGAAAAATGGGAACATTTAATTTTTAAAAATGGTGATACCTCTTAAACGAACTGAGCTATATATGCTCACAAAATAAAAAAAATATTTCTTTATAAATTCGATTCATCGTCGAAAGCATCAGGCCTTTGTAATTATTTTAACAGGATTTTTTTCATCTGTGCACAGCGTAACAAGACTTGTGCCTGTTTTTCACTTTTTGGACTTATTTTCGTAAAAGATCAGATTCCGTTTGATTTTGTTGGGCACAGTTAATTTCTGCATCCTGAATTCGAAAAAAAATCCACTTTTTGTGAGACACTTTCCAAAATTTTTGACAAACAACATTCAAGTCCATCGAAAAACGTGATTCGAAATGCGGAAGTTCCGACATAGGGACAAAGTCAGAGCACCAATTAAGTTCGCATCTCAAATTCCGCATTCAACAGTCAAGAAATTACAATACTGCACATTCAATGGCCGACAACAAAACTTCCATTTCATCCCAATGAAGAACTTCGGAAAATATTTCAAAAGAAGAATTGATACAAACCTGGACGGTTCCTGATGCAAGTTGGTAATATGGGGAAATAGGATCCAATATCCCCGGAACTGAATTGCTGAATGATTTCAGCCAAATCGATATGCATATTTTTGCACGCTAAATCGTACGCGGTATCTCCGTCAATGTTGACAGCACGAATATCTTCAAGCGTCATGTGCGATAGAAGAAACACACTCATTTGTTCCTGGCCAGAAAATGCAGCAGACATCAGAGGCGTGCTTCGCGAGAAACGCTCTCTGAAATCATCACTCAAATCCGTCAGCTACGCGAGATTAAATTTTCTGAATTATGAAATGACAAACCGTGGCGATGGATCTGCTCCATGACTGAGAAGGGTTTCCACGGTCGATAAGTGCCCCATGACAACAGCGTGATGCAATGGGGAGTAGTCAAGAATTTCATCTTTCGTTTCCAATTCTGCACCCCACTGTAAGTAATATAAAACTATTGAATATTCTTTCACAACATATGCACACCAAGCTTCAAGAAATTTTATCTTCATGGAACCTCGAATACAATAACAAACAGAAAGATTTCCTCTTTCATAAATCCTTAATTCCATGGATTCGCATCACGAGGAAGGCTTTCAAAACTGAGGAGTACAGAATTTTTCGTACGTAATTATTTCTTCTTCGTACAGAATTAATTTCGAAATGGCAAATTGAATTCATGATTTCGTACAGTTAGAAGGAGACGAACAGCATCATCATGTCCCCACATGGATGCCAAAGTTAGCGCACTGCGTCGACTGAGATCGAGCATATTCACGCATATTGGAGCTGCTTGAACAAGAGTTTCCATGATCTTAACATGATTCGAATGACTGGCGTACATAAGCGCAGTCCAGCCGCCGCGATTCCGCTTCGTAGCCAACGAATTATCGCTGAAAAAAAAGAAAAAAAATTATGAAATTTAAGTCGATAGTAACATCTAAGTTAATTACCGTCGCAGTAATTCCAGCACCTTGTTTACTGCACCGGTGCTAGCAGCAGCAAAAATATCCATGTCAGGTAGGTCAACAACATCCAGTCCCTCCCATTTTTCAAGCATAGTGAACCAATTTATTGCTGAAGGCGATGTATTTGCTGTGTTATTGCTCATGTTTACAAATTGCAGCGGCGAAAATATATACTAAAAATTCTGCAATCAAAACACCAGGAAAATTAATTTTTAAATTTGAAATGGGTGATGCACGAAAACAATTCAAGGATGATGAATTTTTCGCGATCCGCTTTCGAGTTTTAATCCTTCCTCTCACAACGACATTCTCACTCCCAAACAACCGCACGGCACACGGGCTAACGGAGTTCTACGGCATCTCGGGCATTGATGTCTGGTAGCCACCTCATACAGTTCGACAAAAAATGCACCAGGATACGTTCCGGTGCAACCTATATGTGGTGAAGTAAATCTCGGTAAAAAAAAAAACCGCTGCTATATTCCCCGCGCAAAGCTGAAAACGTTGCAAATGCTTATTCAAAATAAACGAATTCATTTCCACATTAATGTTTCAGGAGTAAATACGGTATGTCTAACACAAATTGTTAAATTGCACACTCAGTGCTGTTTGATATAAAATCTCATTACTCAATATTTTTGGATTTTCAGGTCTGTCTATTGAAAGCTAATTTTGGTCCACTTTAATTCTGAATCCTCAATACTGTATATACTATATGAGATTATGAACTGTAATCCACTATGATCGATCACAATGTTTGACTTTCCTGACGAATACAGTACAGTACTGTACTGTTCTGTAATTTGTGGTACCATATATATCAGCATGTTCCTTTCGTGAAACTTTGTTCGGTACAACACTTTACACTGCTGTCAGCGGAAGCCATGTTCTTTCGTGTGCGTTGATCTTCGGGCGGAGATCCCGGTTGGTGTCTCGTCCGCAGATTTCCGTGGAACGGAGAAATGCGTAACCAGTTATCTATTGTTTAGTGTCTTCGAGTGTTACTGAATTCAAACGAACTGTTCCGAGTGCAGTACTAGTCTCATATTGAGTAATACACGTTCCCCTCCGTTGAAATCGTTTGTTTTCCGTGTGGTTTCTAGGTGTTGAAGCTCATCGGTGAACATCATGACCGCCGTTGCCAAGAAGGCCCCTAGAGTGAGGAAATCTTTGACAGTTGATTGATAGTGAATGACTGATCTATGAATCGTTATTTTCAGACTCGTCATGAGGTGAAGGACAAATCGAAGAATCCTATGCGCGAAGTTAGGATTCGGAAGCTCTGCTTGAACATCTGCGTTGGAGAATCCGGTGATAGGCTCACTCGTGCTGCCAAAGTGAGTGCGGAAATTTTCGATACAAAACAGTATTGTAGCAGTTTAAGTACCGTATCTGTTTAACGCTATAGCTCGATAGTAAGCGCTGAACTTCAGTTGAGACATCTCTTATGATAATCTATGGGGAACTTCTGAATCAAGATCCTCCCCAGCTTCTCTAAGTAGGTTCGTTTTATTGCTTCTTTCAGGTGTTGGAGTCCTTGACCGGACAAACACCCGTTTTTTCCAAGGCTCGTTATACCGTGCGTTCTTTTGGTATCCGACGTAACGAGAAGATCGCGGTCCACTGCACCGTTCGAGGAGCCAAAGCTGAAGAGATTCTAGAGAAGGGGCTCAAAGTTAAGGAATACGAATTGCGTCGCGAAAATTTCAGCGACACCGGAAACTTCGGCTTCGGTATCCAGGAACATATTGATCTTGGTCTGAAGTACGATCCGACCATTGGTATCTACGGTCTTGATTTCTACGTCGTCCTCGGTCGTCCAGGTAAGCATCCTCGTGTCAGTTGGTGTTGCACACTGAACCGGTGGGCGTCTCATCGATAGTCGCTTACACTCAAATTACTGTGTGCGAGAGTAACTGGTCGGATTGCAACCCACGAAAGCCCAAAATTCATGGCTTTTCGTGTTACTTAACTGCGGCCTACATATTTCATATGTATGCAGTATTTCGATTATATGCGTTGGGAACTTGGTTTACCGTCTAACCTCAAGTCGAATGTAATGGAGGTTTCGAGTAAGGGAAACAAACATTTTTGTTCGGGGAGGAAAGAAAAAACGCCGGAGATTGTGATCGGTGATACAGTATTCCAGGCCTTAAATTGCTTGAATGTTTTGTCGGAATGCTGAACTTCGAGACTAGAGTTCATTTGCCCAAATAGTGTTTACTTCCTTTTACAACTCATCGTTACATTTATATTGCTTTCATCTTACCTGTTCTGAAAAAAATAGTATCCAAAAGGCCTCCAGAAATTCTGAATTTTAGAGGATTGAGAAGGAAAAGCTTTCGATTGGGTAGGTTTTTAATGCATCGTTTCTAAGGGGATTCGGATAGGGTCTTGGAAAAGCGTGACGGGAGAGTTATTTGACTTGGGAAGGTTCGAGTTACCGAGGTCAAACTCATTTACTAACGTACAGTGGACAATTTGAAGTAAAGATGACTCCCGAGGTCGACACAGTGTGTCTTTTTTTCATGCGTCAACCAGTAATCACGATGTGAGGATGAGGCTGATTTGAGAGTTCGGTTGAAAAAAGAATTGGTGAGTTTGACTCGGATGCTGGTTAGGTTTCTTGGGTGAACTCCCTGGTCTATTCCACTACAAAGTCCAAGTGACAGCAGTTTTCTTCGTAAACCGTCCCAGGATGTAATCGGGCTTGAAAACTAGTTTGAAAATATGGTAACTAATCGTGCTCTCAATATTACCAGGCTTCAATGTTTCACACCGCCGCCGGAAGACCTCGAAGATTGGTAACCCGCATCGTTTGACGAAGGAAGATGCGATGAAGTGGTTTCAGACCAAGGTATGTTCATTTATGAGTTCGAGTCGCCAATATCATTAATCTTCTCGTCCTTTCTTTTACAGTATGAAGGTGTCATCCTCCCGGGAAAGAAGTAGTTCGACGTCCAGTTGTTGCCGCAGCGTTGAATGAAATAAAGGGGAAAAAAACTATGTCTCTTGTTCAATCGGACATTTATGCAATGTTTCCGTTTTGATTTTGAAAGGGATTTGAAATGTCTTGTTCAGGTATTTGAGTGAGTCTGCCCACGATGGCCGAGACTGCGCCTGCTCCCAAGAAGAAAACCCCAACAGTGCTTGTAACTTCCCACTTCCCCAAGTTGGTGCAAGTGGGTCGCGTTTGCCTGCTTCAGAAGGGTTCACAGAGTGGGAAAATTGTTTCCATTGTGGAAATAGTCGATGGAAAAAGGGTAAATGTCCAGCGTGTAATTTTTTTTATACAGTGTTCGTCCATCACTTGATCGATTCGTTGTTCATTTTGGGAAACAGTTCTTGGTCGATGGACCTGAATCCGGAGTTCACCGCCGTGCCGTTCGGGCGAACGAGATCCACTTGACCAAGTTTGTCCTCCGATATCCGGCTGGGTGCAACACGAAGTAAGTTCTACTTTATTCGGTTATTTTTGAAAGATTTTTGTAGCGACGAATATTATTGATTCTAGGACGGTGCGGAAAGCGTGGAAGGATTCTGGTTTGACTGAGAAGTGGAAGGCGACGAGACTCTACCAGAAGATTGAGAATTCGAAAAAGGTGAGGGATCGCATGTATTTTTAAGGCATTCCTTGTTGAACTACGAAGTACAGTTGAACAACGATAACTCAAAACTTCACAAGTCGAATAAGGCACCCATCTCGCATATTTTTTGCTGTAGCTCAGCTTCTTCTGAATTCTTTATATCAACCTAACATTAATTACACGGGTTACCTCCGGGTCTTCCAAGGTGCTGTAATTACGCCTTTTTTTTAATGTTGAACTTTTGTTTCAAGTCCCTGCCGGAATTCCGCTTGAAATAATGCATCAAAAGCTTCCCTTACTCAGAGGCTTTCCTCTGTAACTCGAATTTTCTGGAGGCCTATTGACACAGCAAAGAGATGAGCGACAAAAACGTAACTTGATGCTTTTTGAAAGCAAGTGAAAGATTAATTAGGCAAATGAACTCTTGTCTCCAAGTTCAACGTCATTCAAGAAGGCCCTGAATGTTACTAATTACAATGTCCTATGATTCTTTTTCGCAACACGAATTGATTTTCATCTGTTTTTGGAATCGGAATTCCGTCAGTCGTTTTGAAAGCCTCGGTTGAACAGCTACTTGTTTCTCTTTTCTACACGCATTATCGCTCCAAAAACGAGTTCAGTCATGTATCGAGGATTGATATTTTCCCACTAACGTAACTTAATGATTTGAGTTCCTACGAAGTTAACCAAACCTTTTCATAGTTTTGACTGCCGGAAATTTCGCGACTAACGAAATCCGTTGACGAGATCGTCATTAACATGGCAAAATCTTATGGACTAGCGAGAATTTCTCGGGAATATTCCGTAAATGAATTAATCCCGGAACTGTTTTCGTGCATCGAAATTCACCGTAAGCCATATTATCTTCTGAAATGGGAGTCTCTGTTTATTGAGCTATGTATTTTCACATGATCCCTCGTCCTACCTAAATTTTGGTCACGGAACCGTGAAGATTTCGCGTCTCTTGACTTGTGACAATTTAAAATATGTTCGTGCTTCTTCGAAAAAAAATTTTTTTTTCATCTGGAAATGGTCGTATAATACGAAAAATAAGTTGGCCTTTGTTGTTGGAAGTAATCATGTAAGACGTCCCATGTACCGTAATTTGATATGTTAGTTCAACAGCTACCGAAGTCAAGACCTGAGTAAAATAGGAAATCGCTTAAAAATTTCGTGAATTTTCTAAAAACTCTGAATTCTGCTCGAAACGAATTCCTTCAACCCGACCTTCGAAACCTAGTGTGAGTTGACAAATGGAATGTGAACTTAATTCCGAGTGAAAATCAGGTTATCTTCGGATTATTTCGAAACCATGCTTTAATTCGTTGCTCTATTTGTCTCTTACAGAAAGCTGCAATGGGAGACTTGGATCGATTCAAGTTGTACGTGGCCAAGCAGCGCAGGAATCGTCTGGTCAAGAGGACATACTATCCGCTGCTCAAGAAGAACCGCAAACTGGCGCTGGAAAAGAAGAAGAAGAAGCGAACTCACGCCAAGGGCACCTATTATAAGAACATTAAAGCCTGATGAGGTTCTTGGAACGAGTTGGGAATGAATATATTCCTTGTGTTGAGCCGCGTACTTCAGTCTTTTTCTTTCTCTCTCGTTTTCCCCTGTGTGATGCATCGGAATGACGTCAACTCTTCGTTTTTTTTCGATTTCAGATTCTCTCTTTCGTGCGAGATGGAAACGAAATTGGAGGATTTTGCGCCAGAGAAGCGTGTGAAGAAGCCGAAGCGCGTTCTTCATTTCAGCGATGGGGTTTTGGAGGAATACAGTGACCAGGAAGGTGATGAGTTGGATGGTGTATCCACTAATGGGAATGCGGTGAATGAAGTCGCTTTGGTGAGTGAGGAAAGCTGCTGAATGAAGGGTGAAATTTCCAGCCTCGTCGTTATTTATACAGTTAAATTTCACCATATTGACCCTCCCAAAGTCAAGTTTCTGAATTCCCTTAGAAACAATGCATTAAACTTGAGAGTTTTCCTCCTCAAACCACCATGACTCAAATTTTCTGGAGGCCTTCTGGCTATTACTGTACTTCATTTACATATGAAAATAGAAAACATAAAAATGCCATGTGATGTCTTTGGAAAGGAAGTGGAAGGCTAATTGAGCAAATGAACCCTGGCCTCCAAGTTCAGCATCCTGTCAAGTCTAGAATATCACAAATTGAAATTTCCTGTAATTCTGCTTTCTTTCCCCCCCCCCCCCTAAATATGCTTGCTTCTCTAACTTGACACCTTCCAAACTCAAATTTTTTGCTAATCACTTGATAGTCAACTGTGATGATTGACCTAATGAATCAGTTTTATTAATTTGTGTAATGTTTCAATAATTGCATGTTTGAAGATAAGTATGTGTCAAGTGTTTCTATCTTGAATAAAGCCTGACTGTAACTCACATAAGTAAAAACTAACCAAGCTGTGTCATAACATGAGGAGTGACTGGAGTGTAGGTGGGCACTTGGTTCATGAACATTTTTCGAAAATAACTGATATATTTTACAATTTTTATCAGACTTCAAATTGATATTAAGTAAATATAAAGTTCTCAAGACCTCTCTTGAGTCTTCACACTTGAATACTTACTATTTTAAGGTACAGTATTCTTAATTTATATTTGACTACAGTACTTCAATGGTGAGGAGATTTCTATTCCTTATTGCTGGGTCCTTCAATGAAGACTCCTCAAGAATTCTTATAAAAGAATGCTAGTGTTCATTTTGTGTTAAACAAGTATGGGCAACAACTAACATAAGTTCTACCAACAAGCATCTAAGATACAATGAGCACAAGAACAGAGAGTGGCAGCTGCTTTTGTAGACTTTGCAGTCAGATATTGGGCAAGACTGGTCAGACCTGGATCTGACCTAGTTTCAAGCCAAGTTGCATAACTCGGGTATGTCATGGGGAATACAAAATTTAAGAAACCTGGAACTGCCTTTTGAGTTGTCTGTTAGCAAGAAGGAGTGATGGAACCTATTTGATGACACAATAATTCATTGCAATTGAGTTGGAATGATTATTCATCTTTGGCACAAGAAGAAATCCAGCCCTGTTCAACATATTCAGTCAAAAATGTTTTGCAAAAGTCACCCTTGCAGCTTTTTTCTCTATACCCAAGAGGCGAGGCACCCATCTTGCATATTTTTTGCTGTAGCCCAGCTTCTTCAGGATTCCTGAAATCAACTTAACATTAATTCTGAGGGTTACCTCCAAGTCTTCTAAGGTGCTGTAATTGTATATTTTTTTTATTTTTTATACCAACAGCCGCCACATTTGTGATGAGCATGTGTCGGAAATATTTTTGTTGTTGTGCCAAAGAATATTTATTCCCATCAATAATTGTTCATCAGCTCAATCGCATGCCGTTTGAATTTATATTTCGAGAACATTTGTGTTAGACTGTTCGGATGCCCGTGGGGTTTGACGAAAGAAACTGTTGCAGGTGCCCGCGGAATGGGGTCCATGGTTTTGGTTCGTGACAACGTCCACGCTCGGGAAATTGTTATCGATGGCGGATTCCGCTGGAGGAACACTGGCGAATTTCTTTGGCATTACTTCGCCCAAGTATCAGTTGGAGATTGACGAATTTGAGCGTATGCAACAAGAGGTGGGTTGTGAGAAAATGCCTCTGTTTTGAATGGTCATTTTGGACAGTGTTCTCCAACCTTTTTGGGCCCGCGGACCAGCAAATTTCCATGGAATTTTTTGTGGACCTGTACATTCCCCAAGGAATTTTCTACAGACTGGCGAAGTTCCTACGAATTTTAGACTTGAAAATTTTCTTGCTTGATAAGACTTTATGGCGGATACAGAAAAGTTTCTGCTTCTTGCTAAAAAATTAAGTCAAGCACCTATGAAGCAGCTGTAGCTGAATGTCATCAAAAACTTAGAAAGGTGGGCCTATTGAAGAAAGATTTCTCAGAATGAAAAAATTAAAGTGATGCATTTCAGCACGTAAGTGTTGTTAGGAGAACTTTTTACAACGAAATTCAAGGGACTGGGAAAAATGGTTGTAGAGAAAATTTCGTCATAGAGAGCCAGTGTAACACTGGACAGAGAACCTTGCTTATGGGACAAGAAGAAACTTCGTTATACAGGGAACATCATTGTAGAGAGAGAGAGAGAGTCCACCTGTATTTAGACAACTTGTAAAAACGGATGAACATTATGAAAGGAATGTTAAATGACGTTAAATTTCGGGGAGAATAGGCGTGGAATCATCTGGACATGGTTATTTGAAACTCTTGGACAGTTTTTCAATGCTAACTTTTAAATGCTTGTCAGTTGAACCTCGGGCTTTTTTTAAATCTTACTCTGGCCCTTTTTAAAACTTTGGTTTCGCACATCGAACCGGTGTTCGACTTTTCCACATAGTCGTTTTCACTCAAATTTGAATGTGCGAGAGTATCTGGTCGTATTGCAACCCACGAGAGCCGATTTGATGACTTTTCGTGTTACTTAACTGCGATCTACATGTTTTAATTTAACGCAGATTTTGTTTAGTAGCGTGTTGTCTTGAATTACTGAAGACGCTAAAATTTCTACCCTGCGTGTAACATTTCTCCTGCTTAATGAGAGGAAAACTCTGCTTGCGAATCTAGGTTGGTAATTTTTCAATCTTGTCAGTACAGTAAAATCTTTTTGCAACAATACGATTACTGTACAGCAAAATTTTCAGTACAGTTGGACATCTTGCAAGTAGAATTTTAAGGGACCATCAAAAAAATTTAACTTGAGCACGTTTTGAATTGAGGTTTGAGTTACAATACCCCTCAAACCTCCAAAAGTTGAATTTTCTGTTACCTGTTTGCCATTATTTTCTTGACCAGAGAAAGAAAAATGCAATAAAAACAGAAATTATGTGTTTTAAAGATAGTACAGTGAAAGACTTATTTTGGAAAGTGAAGCCCTGCCTCCAAGTTCAGCATCCTTTCAACTCCTTTATGAAGCCATTCAAGCCCCAGAATAACACCGTTTATAATTTTGGGCAATTTTTCCAACTTTCCTAGAATAACAGGCTTTGTATTGTAGCTCAATCTTCTATAATTCAATTCCTCCCCAAGTCAATGTTTTTACTGTTCCCTTGAAATTTGATTCAGAGAGGGTTGACTGTAAATTAATATGTTTTGACAATATATTTGCGGCTATACCAAGTTCAGAAACATGGATTCACAGTGTTGTAAATATTTCTTCCACCATGTTCTTATTTTCTCAGGATAAAGAAAGAGAAGAAAAACTCAAGGAGCAAATGGCGGGTTGGGAGTCGACTGAAACTTGCCACACAGCCGTCGTTGATTCCCCCATTTCAACGGATGAAGTTCGCATAACCTCCATTGAAGGCAAATTCAAGTTACCGGAAATCCATCCCAAGTCTGACAAGTGGGAACGTTACTGAAACTCCGTGCGATGCGTGTTTTTCGACGCTTTGTTTCATGTGTGCCTTTGCCGTTTTGCGATTTCATTGATCTCAGTATTTGCACGGTTTTTGCGCCGGATTCTTTCGCCTGAACTATTGGTGTTGTGATGTTCTACTTCGCGTATCGGATAACAATTTCAGTCGATCAAAATAGTCGCCGATGTGATTCGCACTTGCTTACGTGGCATTGATGGAAATGTCGGGAATACTGAAAAGGGGGTTTGCGATAAAATGAAACCAGTGCCTGCACAATGCAAAATCGCTCATTTTTATTGTCAAACCCGTTGAGTAAATTGCACAGCACCCGTCGAAGGTGGTATCTCATGGCGAATCCACTCAATACCCTGTCCAACGGCAACAGCACCGAGAGATCTGAAAAATAAATTTGAACATGACGAATCTGCATGGTACGATTCCAAAAAAAAATGGCAACTTCTGTCAAATATTGTACTTTTCCTATGACTTTGTTCAGCTATTTCTTGGAATGATCAAGGAAAATAAATCGACAAATTATTTTTCTACAAAAATTTAAGAAAAGAAACGAAACCCTGAGCTGAAAATTCTTCATTGATCCAATTTTGGAAAGTTGAACTTCAGCATTTGCTTGGCAGCATTAGATTAATTGCTTCAAGAAAACTCAATAACTAAACATTGTTGAAATGCTACAGCTTAGTTTCATGCTTGAAAACCATACCCAGACTGACGAGAAATTCATTTGTTCCTCTCAGAAGAAAATGAATATACAGCACAAAACACTTACCAGAAAAAAGTTACGGTAGGAAAAAATGGATCACCAAAGCATGCATAAATTTCACCAAGTTATGCATTTCATCTTCGAATCCAGGTCAAGATTTATTACCGTGGAACAAAGGCGATTTTTTAAATTGTATTCTAGCCTAAAATATAATTCCTTTGAGAGACTAGAATTTCCAGGATCTTCATTTGCGCCACACCTAAAATTATCAATTCCTACTTCAATAGGAGAATCTCAATTGCATTCACTTCGATCCTCTTTCGTAACTCATGTTTGACGAGATGTAAAGATAACACGCAAAAAAAATTTGGAAAATTTGCAGGAAAAGTTTTCACTCCAGTATGACACCCCCCCCCCCCCCCCCTTTTCTTTTCTTAGTGGTGTATACTCGAGTTAACACAGAACAGTTTTCTAATACAATGCACAGTAATCCACCTAAACTTTTTTGAAGGACTGAAATCTGCAAGTCAGTGTAAAATTGCACTGATTTATTCATGACAATAACGCACCCGTCATCAGATTGCAGAACAACAAGGTCGTGGATGTCGGCAATATTCGTCATTCGAAATGCCACGGGTCTCAGTATCACCTGGTCTACGGCATTGTCACCATCAGGGATCTCAAAATCCCATAAAACGAATCTCTGATCGAGACCAACGCTGAGAATCTTTCCAGAGGAAGATAAAATTCTCACACCTGCTCAAGGGGGTCAAAAAATAAGAAACAGTCATTCAATCAATCCCGATTTGAAATGCAAATAATGTTGAACCTTTACTGATAACTCAAACTTCCCCTAGTCAAATGCTGACTATTTTTCAAGTACCCATTACCCAAATTCCCTTAGAAACAATGGATTGGAAACCCCTATAACTCAAATTTTCTGAGGTCTTTTGGCTATTATTCTACTGACACATGAGGATAAAATCAATAATAGAACAAAATTTAGAAGTTTTAAAAATGTGTAAAATACTAATTGGGCAAAGAAACCCTTGACTCCAAGTTCAGCAACCTGTCAACTCATTCAAGAAGCAATTGAAGGCAGTGTTCCCCAACTGGTGGTCTCTTGACTGGTGCCAGTCTGCAGAAGTTTTCTGCTGGTCTGTGGGAAATTTTCAGCATGATACCATGATCAAAAGTAGGGATGAGGTCTGTCATTTTTACCAAAAATTTTTGAAGGATAATGACAGTTGAAATTACAGTACAGTATGTGCCAAAGAATAAAATGGCTTTTTCTCCTAATAACACTCCAGACAAATTTTCACCTGCTGAAATACATTTTTGCCATTTTTCCTGAGAAACCTTTCTTCAAGCCTAACTTTCTAATTTTTATGACATTCTGCTAAGCTGCTTCATTGGTACTTAACTCAATTTTTGTAAAGAAGCAGAAAATTTTAAATTCCTGCCAGAAAATCTTCCAAGCAACATTTCTGTGAGTCTGAAAATATTTTATGAAACTTTGCCAGTCTGCAAAAAATGTTTTGGGAATTTGCTGGTCTTCCAAAATTTTTATGGGAATTGGCTGGTCCATGTGCCCAAAAAGGTTGGGGAACACTGATTTAAGGCACAAAATATACTCCAATTACAATTTCCTGCCATTTTTCTTTCTCTCTGTCAACAAAAATTCCTTCATTATTTTTTTTAACCAAAAACGCAAATTTTTTGCTGGTCCCTTGCAGTTTGAAGCACTGTCTAATGAAACAACAATGAAATAAAACTGTTCTCCCAATCCAGTAGTTTATATATACCGTACCTGAAATTTGACAAGCTGTCGCTTGGCTGTTGGTTGTCGTTTTCACAGACCACGACTTGAATGTATTAGTAGACGACAGCACGTCTGAATTGGCAGAAATAACAGCAAGGCTCAAGGCATTATCATCCCCGCCAGTCGCTACGATCCAACAATTTTCCGCTCGCTGAACAACGTCGATCGCAGTGATTCCAGCCGAGTGGCCGATCCATTCAAGGACTTTCTGAAAATTCCAGGGAAGAAAAATGCGGGTCACACGACTCCATACGAGGGTTGGTTCATATAAGTTATGAGACTTTTTGAAATAGATCCAAGCGCTGAGTTTCAACAATGAAGAAAAAAATCACCTGCTGTTCCTTGTTGTCAGTGAAGACCCTGAGCAACCCGTCGCTGCTTCCAGCCAGGAAAATTCCGCACCCATCCAATGTTGGCAGGACTTGGCACTTGAGAACTGCTGCTGGACTGGGCTCCACTTGCCACTTCAAGTCAAGGCCGTCGGGGCCCAGGACATCGAACACTCTGAGAAAGCCGTCGGAACAAGCAGCAACCAGGATTTCCGGAGACAGAAACTTCAAGGAATTCACTCGACATTCCGAAGTGTCGAGGCACTCGTTTATTGAACAAGTCCAGGGTTTCCTTGGGCCCGGGGTTCCTTTGGTTCCCACAGTGACATCGCTGGAAATCTTGACAGAGTACAGCTCTGTGCGCTTCTCTTTGCCTGTGGGAACATCATGGGTTTTCATGATTTTGTTAGTTGACAAACAATTCATGAAAATTTTCATACATTTGTCATCATTGGAGATAATCATTACAGGTGAGCCTTGATAAGTCAAACCTCTTCTAAGTGGAATTCCTCCCCAAGTCAAATTTTTTTCAAGTTCCTGCCTGAATTCCCTTAGAATAAATAGCACTTCCACAATGGATATGCAAAGAATTACCTAAATTTCCAAATTCTTTTGATGAAATAATGGATGAAATTCAAAATGTGAAATAAAATCCCCTTATACAGTACTTCATAATGTCCCTTTCTTAAATTTTCTAAAAAGAATCTCACCAATTTATGAACTGAAATACTGTAGACAGAAAATTCATGTTAAAAAAATGTTACCCATCAACAGCATGTTACCTGAAATAGAGCAATATCCTTCCAAACATACTCTTCTTTCAAGATAGTAACAATTTAGAAATTGTAAAATAAAGCTAAATACACTCATACTTCCTGCTAAGCTAAATTTTCAATACAAAAAGATGTCAGCATTTACTGCAAATTTTTAAAGGTTTTTCAATTTTGCACAAGGTTGGTTTTTCCTCATATTGTACCACTTAGTAAATATTATTATGTCCTATGCGCACAAATAATCAAGACAAACATTCTTTATGCTGAGATTATGGAGGAAAATATCTTTGTTTCAGGGACATTTTTATAACGTTATTGTCCCTATCCTGTATGAAGAAGAAAACCCTCGTTGTAACGAAAAATTCGTTGTATCGGAATTTCACTGCCAAAAATAAAACAAAAAAAAAGCACAGAACCACGCATAACCCAAATGAAACATATGTTATTGCAGTGTATAAGCTATACCTTGGAGCACCACTTCATACAGGCAGATTGTTGCACGACCTCCACCGAAGGCCAAGAGGTACTTGTTGTTCCCCGGATTATTATTTGCAGACGTCACAGCGAGGGATTTGATGGACGAAAAGTGGCAAATCTTTCGGCCAGTTCTTTGGAAACTTTGATTGGAAAGGACGAGGAAAATCAAGTTTCCGTCCTCGCAGCCGATGGCGATTGCTTCTGAGCCGATCGCAACTGCCACGTTGATCACACTGCTTGCAACAGCAGGCTATGCGAAAAAAAGTGAAAATAAAATTTTTAAAAATCAGCATCAAGTCCTGATGACGAATGGTTTCTGAGCAAATAGTTCTCGAATATTTTCACGCATCAAAAATGCCAACATTTCGAATAATCAATTATTGCTTAGTTGATTACCTTCTCTAATATGTACAGTGAGACCCCCACATGTGGACAATTCGACATAGGGACACTTATTTTCCCATAAAAATTAATAAAAAAGGCCCAACAGGAGGACACTGACTTGACACAGGGACATTTTGTGATGAAATTTCAAATAAGTTTCAGGGCAAATTACAAGAAACAGATGCAGTATTTCCAAACCTAAAATTGATGTAAGAAAAGTTCTTGGGCATTTCTCTCACCAATTTACCATC